CTATTAATTTAATTAAATTACGGGAGTATAAAATATACAATGGTAGCTGAATTTCGCCCATCCATACTTGGTAGTTTATTTGTGTTTATGATATTGTTTTGAACAAGATTATTGACTTCCATATCGTTTAACACCTGATGAAATTTTACCCGGACTGGCAAAAACAAAGATTTGCATTTCCCATATAGTATTTGTTATAAGTCTCTGGTGGAATGGCCTTCATTGCCTTCAGTGAATGACTTGTTCAGGCTTCAATGGACTCATGGCGTGTTCTTCGAAGCGGGTTTTTCAGTTTTGATAACTGAAAATAGTCACAGGGAATGAAATCTACCAAATACGGTGACTGCGCGATGAGTCTCGTTTTATGTTTGCCCATAAAGTTAGTCACAATCATGCTAGAATGTAACGGAGTATTATCGTGGTGAAAAATCGATGAATTTTCTGCTTACAAATCCGGTCCTTTACGACGAATCGGCTAACGTAGACATTTCAAAACGACTAAGTAGTATTCCTTATTGACAGTTTGACCGACTTTGGCGTGGTTTTTCGAGTTTGGCTCATTTTTGGAGCGCCATTCGCTGGATTGTAGGACAGTTTCGACTTCATATTCATAAACCCACGTCCCGTCACCAATAATGATGAGTTTGCTGAAAGCAGGGTCCTCAACTACGTTGTCAAGCATCTCTTTTGCGACCTTTACCTCGATAACGTTTCGAAAAAAGATTCATGTCTTTTGGTACGACTCTATCATTCTAGATTTGGTAAAGCATACGATGATATAAAACCGAAAGACAATGTAAGTTACATCAAGGTGTCGGACTAAAAAGCATAGAAACATACTCTATTCCAAAACGATCTTTTATGTGTCGATAATAAATTTTATCCACTTAACATCCACCACTTACACCACTGTATTTCGGACTGTATCTCTTTACTCATACATCCATGTATATACTAATAAGAGTGTGTATGTATGCGATATGCATTTATTTTAATCTGCGGAAGTAAATCCGAATAACAGAATTAAAGTGCTTTAAAAAAGTGAGTGAATATGAACATAAACAAATTGTTAACAGAAGCTTAGAAGCAAATGACGTTTACAACCTATGTGGTATATTAATAAATAATTATACGTATAGCATTATAATTATATTTAATTATGTGCTATGTAGGTATGTATAGTGTGTATTTGACTTCATCGTTTTCACTGAGACATTCATAATGGAACATGTGTACTAATTATCAGCCTTTAACTGTTACAAGGACGTTGAGTAAATGTAATTCTTTATAAATACATATATAAATATGTGCGTTGATATAATAGTTGTGGTTTTGCATGTCAGTACGTAACTTGCAATTTAATTCTGCCAAATTTACTATGAATTGGATTTGATTGGTCTAAAAAATGTTCAACTAAATATTAACCGGTTTTTGACTTTAACCACTCATTATAAAATATTTAATTAGAATTTTTGATGAATTTACCGTAAATTTTTCCGGATTTGTAGTTGACCTTGAGAAAAACTTTAAACTTCCAAGTTCAGGCTAGATGCACATACTAGAAGGGCGACTGCTGTGGGTGTGTGGGTTGATTGATTGGATGACTACGAGTCGGCGATTAATAGGTTCGAAACACACAATTGACATACACTGAATATTTAAATGTTGTGCGGAAGAGGTTTTAAGCGGAAACTGAGCTTTTCCAACAATTCATAAAATCGCTTATGATTTAAGACAAAACAATATTAGGCTATTAAACCTCAAGTTTTAGCTAAAGAAGCTTAATGGACGTTAGGGCGAGACAATTTTTGTTGTTGTTTTACCAGTTATCCAGATCTTAGGGTGGAAAGGCGTAGGTTAATTGTCATATAATGGGAGGCCCAAGAAACGTGCTGTAATTGAGGAATTTCGAGATATAGAAGTTAGCGAGGAGAGAACACTACACTGCGGAACCCTCTGTTTGTTTCTTCTTAACTTAGAGTTTTTACCTCGAAATAATACGGACTGCTCAGATAGTTCATGGTCCACCTCTTCAGAACCTGAGAGAGCTCAGAATGATTCGATGTCTTCTAGTAGATTATACGAGTTCAGTTCTTATTGTTTGTTTTTGTAATAGCAGAAAAAAATCCTAATTATTTTGAGGAATACAGCTAAGTTGATAGTGCTCGGCTGGATAAAAATCTAGGTGCATTCCAATTACGTAGACCTAATAGCTCTGAGAACGATCTTATGTTGCTACTGCTAAAAATCCGGCTCAGTTTCGTTTACGTAGAGCCGACTGACGTGATACTTATAAGGTAGCCTGGTTTTTTATAAGGTAATTCGTTAACGTTTTAAGTTTTACAAGAAGATATCTCAATATTTTGATCAAGATCAACCTACAATTTAAAGACGAAATGTTGTAACTTTTGGAAATCTATTTAACAAATTTCAAATTTATTATATTTAAGAAATTTAATATATATATATGTATATGAAAAACACAAGTATACGTTTTGGCTTTTAAAGCTTATATTTTTAAGTTATTCATGGAATTATTCAACCCGTTATCAATATACCATATAACAAGTTGACCATCAACACCAGATGTGCTTATTTTTTTACCATTTTCCTTTTCACCAGCATACAAGCGAATACAAGTTATGGCGTTTTGATGAATTGAATCAACATTAGTATCAGAATTTTCAGTTCTTAAGTTACGATCCAACGATTGGAAGATACGCATAGCGGATATACCGCTAGACTCTTTCTTTTGTGATTTATCTAATTTAGCCGTTAGCACCAATTTGGAATTATCAACCAATGTATACACCAATGGAACACAGCTATGGCCAGCCACAACTATGGACACTGGCGATATCCAAACACAAGAAAGGAAGGGTAGATACTGGGTTTTGCAACGTACAACTACGTTGCCATTAGTTGCATCGGCAACATTAATGCAACTATCATGACCAATCCAACAAATTTTATTGCCATCAACCGAAAAGTTTACATCGTTTATCCAGCCACCACCTGAGTTCGTTGAGTTTTTAAATTCTGCCATGAGATTTCCTAATGGCATGCGATTGCCCCAAGGTGTTGGACTTGGTTGATCCTCAATGTCTTTAATGTAAGCTGAAAATACGCGAACCTGGAATATATAATATATTATTGACAGCCGTAAAATTTAAAAACAAAAGAAAAAACGTTAACTTCGGTTGCACAGAAGCGATAATACCCTTCTCAAATAAAAAAAAAGTTTCCATGCAAAAACTTGATTTTTATCGGTATGAGATTGAACCGCTGTGTTGGACAATAACCCATGCCATCGTGAAGATATCTTGTTAACTAAAAATGTTTTCTATACAAAGGTTTTATTTTTATCGATAAGTTTGTTTGCAGCTATAAGCCATAGTGGTCCGATTTGTACAATTTGTAGATTTCGGAAATTCTATTGTAGCCTTTAATATTATCGATGCAAAAGTTCGTTATGATATCTTTTCAAATAAAAAAGTTTTCATCTAGAATTTAACTTTGATCGTTCAGTTTGTAAGAGATCGTTAAGTTTTCAGATCGATATCTCAAAAAATGAGTGACTAGTTCGCGAAAATACCGACTTTAAGACGGACATGAGTCGTCACTGATATATTTTATAGGGTCTCCGACGTTTCTTCTGGGTATTAAAAACTTGGCAAACTTATATTATATACCTTGTTCAGGATAAAAATATATTTATTTACCTTGTAGTCGGTTGATCCAGCCACAAGTAAGACATTATTTGGATGCCAATCTAAAGAAGTAACTGTTGAACGAATCGGCTTTTTAATATGCTTGGACACCCACCAGTCATTTTCAGACTCAAAATAGCACACCGATATAAGGCGTGCACCTGAGCCAACCGCGAATTTATTTTCGGCTGGCGACCATTTAACACAAGTAGCTGCACGATTGATACGCAACAATACCAAAGTGGGTTTCCATTTACCATCATCACCTTGTGACCAGACATAAGCGTTCCGATCAGCAGCGCAGCTTACAATTCGATTCGTATTTTTTGCCCAATCAATGCCCATTACGCGTAAATCATGTTGATTCAGCACATCAGACAACTTCCAATCATTACGTTCGCGACTATAGATATGAATTTCATTGTTGTTGGGCGAAAGGGCGATTTCTATTTGAAATAATAGTAAGCAAATACAAAAAAGTTACTCATAAATTAATGACTAATAATAAAAAATTTTCGAGTTCCAAATATTTACGTGAGCGATCTTTATTCCAAGCATGGCAAGTTATTGATGCCAAAGAGCCTCCAAATGTATAACGTTCAGACATTGTTGGTATAAATTGATAAATGCAAAGATATTTGTAATACTTTTAAACGTTTTTAAAGAAAGTTAATCGCGGACTCTGGGCCGTCTACACGATTAGCAAGAAAATATGTCAATTGTGACTAATGTTAGTCCAAAAAATGCACTTGTACCACAATATCCAAAGAATTTTTTATCTCACGGAAGGTTTTGCCGATTTGACAACTAGCAGTGCTGCCACTTTATTATGCACAAATTACTAAGAAAAGCTTTTTTCTGTTATTAAAGGAGGTCAAAATTTGGACAAAATGATTTTTAGACCTGATATTTATTCCAAAATTTAATAATGTGATCAAAATATGCCCTCAAGAAGGAAAAGACTTGTTAACTGTTTTTCCGAATTTTTATGTCTAAAATAATACTAACACTATTTCTATGTATATATAATTTACAAGATAACGCTGGATATTTTAAATTTATTATAATTTTTCAATTTACAATAACAAATTAACTGATTTTTTTCACAAAAGAATTCTATTTTTCCTTCAAAGTATTCCCAAAAAGTGAAAAATTTTGATTTCGATTTTGCATATTTGTTAATATTTCTGCATAAAAATTTCACAGAATATTCTTTCAAAGTCATAGTAAAAAGGTTTTAACTGTTTTACCAAAAAAGTCATAAATATTAGTTTTGTTTTAAACGAAATAACCCTACTCCCTCCTTAATTTTTAAAATGAATCCATATCTTTTGCGTGTACAAAATAAGACAGCGTTTTGCTTTAATTCTCTGATTGTATTGAAGTTTCAGTAGGCGTGACTTGCTGGATTTCAATCCTTGCGTTTATAAGCTTGTTACCTATTACATACATTATAAGCTTTACATACAGGCCTACAGTAATTGTTTTAATTGAGTTATTGTTCTTCAATATAAGCCTTCCAAACGACTAACTACGAATGTATTTCAAAATTTTCAACTTTTACTTTTAAATTATTAAATCAAGTTTTCAATTTTTAACCCCAAACATCTTGTATTAAAAATTATATTTTAAATTAAATTGAAATTTTAATTCAATTTAAATTGTGGTTCTCTATAATTTAATTTTTAATGTAATCTAAAAGCTTTAAACAGAGAACGTATATAATATGTTCTCTGCTTTAAACACCATTTTATTATTTATTTTTTTGCTTACCTTTTATTTGACATCCGCCAACATTTACAATTAAGAATTAAAAGTATTTCATGAAAGCAAAAACAGCTGTTGAGTCCGTCATCAAAAGAGGCTAATTTGGAATAGTATTAAACAATTAAAGGGCGCACCTTCCACAAATTATTGCTTTTTAAATGGAAATCGTTGATACATATTACAGCAAAGATGAATATGTGGAAACTGTAGATTATATAAAATTAAATTAGCTTAAGCAGGAAAATACATAAATATTTCCCATTAACAGGCTTCTGGGAACAAGGTCAGCAGGCAGACCGTCCTATGTGGATCACAAAATATTGTGCTAAATGGAAAAGTTGTTGTGCAAACCGGTGCGATAATTCGTGGTGATTTGGCAAATGTACGTACGGGTCGTTATTGTGTTATAAGCAAAAATGCCGTCATCCGCCCGCCGTACAAACAATTCAGCAAAGGTATCGCTTTCTTCCCTATGCATATAGGCGATCATGTTTTTATTGGTGAAGGTGCAGTTGTGTCGGCGAGTTCTATTGGCTCATTTGTGTATATAGGAAAGAATGCAATTATTGTGAGGGCTTGAAGTGAAATGTAATTTAATTTCTTAAATACTTAATAATACCTTTAACTCTGCTCAGGGCCGACGTTGCGCGCTTAAAGATTGCTGCATCATAGAGGACGGTGCCGTGCTACCACCAGAGACAACAGTTGCTAGTTATATGCGTTATACCGCTAAAGGAACAATCGAGGGTGGTCAAGGTAATCCAAATTTTGTTCCGGCGGCAATGCAGGATCAAATGGTTGACTATACCAAATCATTTTATGAGCACTTCTTGCGAAATCCACAAGCGGGTTAAAACTCTTAATTGATCGTTTATTTAATAGTATTTTCGTATGCTAATAATTTTTACATATAATATTAAAAAAATGTTTCGAAAAGATCGTTTCTCATCTCATTCAAATAAAAAATTATAATATACTATATATATACCATAAACTAATAAAAACACAAATTTTAATGCTTACTTCTGCTAGTCAAAACGAATTTTTAATCTATTATACCAGTTTCAACTTCATAAGCCGGGTGACCCATCTCAAATATTGGATATGTTAAACCAGTTCGCCGTGCAATGTCTTCAGCAGTTTCCTCAGAATTATTTAAAGCTCTTGAATTTATATTTTCATTCATAAACAACACAGTAGAAGTATTGCGACAGTTAGAAACAGTTGCGGTTACATGTAAAGGTGTTTGATCCCCATCAGATTTCGCATTTACATCGGATCCATGTTGCAGCAGCAGTTCAGCACATTCTGCATTACTCCACTTACAGGCTGAATGTAATGGTGTCCAACCCATATTTGTTCGCGCATTAGGATCAGCTTTGTATTCCAGTAACAGCTTGGCTATGTCAATAAAATTATTATAACACGCACGATGTAATGGAGTATAACCGTCATCGTCTACTGTAGAAACGATCTCTTTATCCAATTTCAATACATTGCGGACCTCATTTATTTTATTTTCATTTACTGCCCACAGAATCATTTGCTCTATACTGGCTAATATGTATATATTATTACTACAAAGTAACGATATACTTAATTTAATATCATAAACTTACATTGTGGATTTTTATCTTCCTCAATTAGGTTATCCGCATCATCATCCCAGCCACTAACAAACATACCTCGCGGTATTTTAGCGTAACGCAATTTCTCAAGTTGAGATTGTTCTTCATCAGAATCAAAATCGCCCATTTTTCAGAACTACAAAGTTTTACTATATATACCGGTAAAAGTTTATTTTTTAGTATATACTTAGCTTATTGAACTTTATAGTGTTTTGGAGGCTAATCTAGAACATATATTTGTAAACAAATAAAATTCATCAAACGTCAATATTCTGCGATAACAAACTCGATATGTATCACAGGGTGAACCATATAAACTGTTACATTCGTGATCAATAACACACTTAATTTATGTAGCACTAATAACTCCCTAATAAAAACAATAATTAAATACAATAAAAAAACTAGAATTTAAAAACGTCAAATAATTTTAGTTCCGATTCTTCCGAAAAATGTGTACGACTGTATAATAAATTTTTAACACGCCCTGTCATTGACTGAAATTATTTGCGTTCACATATTTTCATAACAAATAAAAACATAAGCACAACGGACTTCTCGATCATTAATTATTTGTTTATTTAATAATAATATTAAAAAATTATGTCGGAAAAAGAAGTTAGTGAAGATACACAAGCAAATGGTGATCAAAGTTTGCAGACGATATTTTCCAAGGGCTGGGAAGGATTCGAGGAATTAGAAGAAACTTCTCTACCATTTAACTCCGCAGAATATCAAGTGAGTACGAGTTCTTAACTTTTTGCCGGCACTTTTAATTGATATTTTTATAGCGCAAAGTTAAAGCCACTATGAAGAAATTTGAAGAAGCCACAACTGTTGTAAATCAGATTGGTCTATTCAGTCCCAATGAGCTTATTGATGAAGTTTCTACTGATTCGTTGCAATACCTGATGCTTCCTTTTTATTTGGGTAAAATATCGCTAAAACTTCAACATGAAAGTCGGGGGGAAGTACTTCAAATTGCTGAAGTATACTTTAAGTAAGTCATAAACAAAAAGAAAAACAGTGAATTTATCCTCACTTTGGATATATTTTCAGAGACTTTTTACAGCGTTGTCAAGAATATGAGCTGTGTGACGAGCATAAAAAGAATACAGTTGGAGCAGCAGAAGGTAGTAATACAGATGAATTAGCTCAACTAATGCGTGCAGCGCATGCCCGCAATGACAAACTTGCACAATTCAGAAAAAAGAAAGAGTTGGATGAATTTGTAAAGAAAATGAAACTTGCTGTACGCAATAAAAGTGTTGATGATGAAGTACGTAGAGAATTTTTCTTAAAACTACTCAATACAAGTATTATCGATGCCACTGAAGAATTGGATAGCGTACAATTAGAAAAAAAAATGGTACAAATGCGTACAATGCATGGTTCAGGCGCACCACAATCTAATGATCATTTCGATAATATCAAATATCCACAATCTAATGAGCATTTCGATAATGCCAAAGCAACATCTACTTCAGAGACAGCTGGACATTCACATCATCATCATCATCATCTCTCGCAACAACCGAAGAAAAAACCTATGCAACCGTTCATTATTACTCGTAACTCTGCACAAAAGGCGGTATTCGGTGCGGGCTATCCAAGTTTGCCAGTAATGACTGTCGATGAGTTCTACGATCAACGTGTACGCGAAGGAGTTTTCCCTAATGAAGAGAAGGTGGCGAAAATGAATCGTGAACAGGCATTAGCCGCTGCTCAAGATCCCAATGAGAAGGAGGATCAAGAAAAGGCTGTAGAGGAGATTCAAATTGAGAACGATGATCCAGAATACTTAGAGCGTATGCGCCGCATGGATGAATATAAAGATGTTGTACGCCGTGGCGACGGTAATCGTTACAATCGCAGTTAAATCACCACCGAATATTTATTAATTATAAATGTATATCATAACGCACGTTTCTTTGTTTTACGACGATTTTGATAATCTCATCAAAATAAAAATCTAAATAAAGTTTTTAAACATTTTTTAATTCATTCAGGTTTGCTAAATAATGAATCGCTGTGTTACATTTTAGTTACATTATTACTTACTTATAAACATTTTAATCGACTTTACACTTAAAAATTCAATTTATATATTTACTTTTGAAAAAGGTTGTTTTATTGGGACGTTTTTAAGTGGCCCACACCAAATATGTCAAGAATTCAAAGTCACTTTCGTTTATTAATATATGTAATTTTGTTTTGTACATTCAAATATTAATACATCTAAATATTGTATATCAAGATATGCAAACAAGTTGTGTATGTATTAAGATTAATGCACACAGGTCCTATTATCACGTTTAGTCTGCATATCTCATGTTAAATATTAATGACAATTTATATTGGAATTCAACCACATTGAATTGTGTATAGAACTGGACACTCATAGCAACTGTACGAATGACATTTTTCTACACATTTTCTTGAACACAAATAATATTGTATAACTTAAAGCTAACTTTTTGTATAGTTTTAAAAAGTATTAACGAAACATAAAAACGCATATTAATAGCCTTTAACAAAAAACTTAACTATTTTCTTATTTTTATTCATAGATATGGCGCAATAAGTAATATCAAACAATTCATGCATGTCAAGTTAAGTATTTCAAATTAAAGTATCATTTGCCGTATATAGCATCACTTTGCGTTGATCATATTCAAACACTGATTAATTAAATGAAATTAAAATACATTTTTCTTAGACAATAATATAAGAAATAATTAATTCTGTGATACACAGATTACACTGAAAACAGTTCATAAAATACACTTGCTTAAACAAACATAATATACATACCTAAAACAAATAGTAATAGTTTATCTCCTGGCCCGCTTTTTAGGTGGTTGTAAAAAGTTTTCCTCTTCCTCATCAATGTCCATTGTATTTAACTGCATTAATGCCTTAGCTTTACGTAACATTTCATTATCTTTAAGCCAACTGCTCTTCAGAACATCATCAATCTTTGGCCGTTTTTTAGGGTCCACAACCAACATTTCTTTTATAAGTGTAGTAGCACGTTGAGAAACCTTTTTCCATGTAGGATGACTAAAGCGAAAACGTCCGTGCTTTATTTGTTCACTAGCAGGTGTACCAAAATCGTCTGAGAAAGGCAAAGTACCGCTTAGACTAGATAGAAAATATACATTGAAGAAACTAAGTAAATATTTGAAGAATAATGAAAATAATAATAAAATGTTACCAAGTAAACAGAACAACACCAAGGCTCCAGATATCAACTTTTTTTGTGTAAGCCCCTCGTCCACCGGTTTGTAGCACTTCAGGTGCTACATACAATGGGGTTCCACACAACGTTTTCATGACGGAATCATTTTGCACGAGTTTACTTAGACCAAAATCGGAAACTTTTAATAAAGTTTCCTCGTTCGAAGATTCCAGTAATACATTGTCTGGTTTTAAGTCTCGATGACTTATACCTAAGTGCATATATGATAGATTATACTATATTTATATAAAAGATAATATTAGTAAAAGTATACCTTTATCGTGCAAATATTTAACAGCATGGCACATTTGGTAGAAAAATAATTTGGATATCGGTTCTGAGAGATTTCTGTTTGTTATAATTCGATTCAGTAAATCGCCCCCCTTCATAAATTCCAACACCATATAAACAGAGTCTGGCTTATCCAATATATCATGCATTTTGATAACACAGGGCTGTGATATCGAGAATAGATAGTTTTTTTTTATTATGTAAATTAAACAAATGTATATAAATTTTTTTTTGTTTCCACTTACATGAGAAAGACTCTTCATTATGTTCGCTTCATTAAGGACCTTTTCAGGGTCATTGGAATTTGATGGTTTTTTACGACTGATAGCACTACTTTCGCTTAGTAGATTTTTCTTAACCATTTTCATTGCAAACTGCTCACATGAACGTATATCAAAAACTAAACGGACCAACCCGCAAGCACCAGAACCCAATTTGCGACTCACATAATAAGTAGATGTGATTTCTTTAGGTAAGCCTAATGCTTCGTTTGGACACAAATCTTTGAATACAAAGGCTAAACACAAAAAGCAAAATATATATTATTATAAAAGATAATTATATTACTACTACCTTTGTTCGTAGGATGACAAAGAGAAATAACATCATCGTTTTTCAAAATTCTCGTTTTGTTCATCCCAATTCGTTCACCATTTATAAATGTCCCATTACGAGAGTTGTCCTTTATAATACAAATTTGATTATAATAAAAAAAATGTATTTGATTAAAATAATAAATAAAATAACAATAAAAAACAGCATACTAATTATAACTTACTTCAATATAAACTGGATTGGAAATACCACAATTTTCCCGCTTCAATGTAAAATGTACCTTCGATATGCGATATAGAATTTTTTCTGGCAAATAGTCGAGAGTTAACATTAAATTACAAGTTTCACCTCTGCCAGCTGCAAATTCATCGATATTTAAATCTAATAATGAAATAATTGTATTCAGTTACAAAATCAATGTTTAAAAGATAGTTTCCGTAAATATTTAGTTGGGAATTTAAAGACGCAATATATATAGGCAATTTTCAAAGATTTTACTTATTGCATTTTTCTTTTATTAATTATATCACTTACAAACTTACCTATAGAATTCATTTTAATATTCTTCCCATACAGACGTCCCCAAATGATATTCTCCATTGGTTGACTTTGAGTTTGGTCCCAAATACTAGAGGCTTGACTTTGAGTGGCAATATTAGCATGGCGCGCCATCACATTAATATGAAAATTACCCAAAACTATAACAAAACAAAATGATAAACTTACAAAGTCCCCAAATATTGACGAGTTTTTTTAAATTAATATATTAACACACTCAAAAAATATTAAAAGTTCAGTTATTATTTGATACTTCGCGGTTAATTTCTTCTTTTCAATATAAAAAGGGGAACAAATTGTTCCCATTTATATTCCACTTTCCATTATGATAGTTGCCAGATTTTTTCAATGAGATGAAATGGTAAGTCAGTTATTTAACATCTTCACATATTATGAAGTTCTAGTTCATGATTCTATTTTAAAGGCTGTTTTGGTAGAGAGCGCGCTTTTTCTTACGAAATATTATTTCATTTTTAAACTCTTGCAACATGCTGCTACAGACTATAATAGTTTTGTTCACCTAACGGTTGTTTGTATCATCTAAAAATAATCGAGATAGATATATGGTTATATACAAAATATATATAAATAATCAGGATGATTTGACGAATTGAAATCCGTGTGACTGTCTGTCTGCCCGTCTGTCCGTCCGTCTGTCTGCAATAACTTGAATAAAAATTAAGGTATCTTAATGAAACTTAATACACATTTTATTTGGCAAAAAGTGAGGGGGAGTTCGTTGATGGGCGTAATCTGCCATGCCCACAAAACGCCGTTAATCAAAAACGTATAAAGTACCATATTTAAGCCGTAAATGAAGATAGAGAACTCAAATTTGGCACAACGAATCACATTAAGGAGGGGCATCTGCGGTTTGATGTTTGAGTTTAATGTATATATCTTCCAAACGAATAAAAAGAACAAAATTCTTTTACCCCTCTTAGGATAGTGTCTAAATATGTGAAATCGGATGATATACCCATCCCCATATAACGGTTTGAATAAAAATTACTAAAAGTGCGATAAATCAATAACCAAATGAATCAGAGACATCCAGGATGACATAAGAGGGCTTTATAGGTACAGGTATCAAAATTTAACGATACCACCCACTTTTAGGTTTAAGCACATATCTCGGGACTTGCCTGATCGATTTTAACAAAATTTAGTGCGTAATATTCTACAGTAACAGTGCGAAAAAGGAGGAAATCGGACGACAACCACGTCTACTTCCCATATAACACAATTTTAAATTCCATCTGATTCTTTCACATTCCAGTATACAAATAAAGCACCAATTAATATAACGAAATAGAACTTTGCACGAATAGTGCTTTTGAAGTGTGCCATCTTATGACAAAAATTGTCCAAATCAAACTAAATCTGTTCAAGCCCTAGGTACCGAATATGTGAACCCCAGTGCCTATAGTTGAGAGAACCCTTTGCTAATAACAGTATGTCTGAATGCCAAAAATATGTGGAATCGAGTCTATACTTGATGTGAGATGTCTCAATAAAAAGTGAGAGAGCGTGTTTATCAAATAGCAGTGTATATTTTTGTCTAAAATTAGGTGAAAACTAGACCTTACCCCTATATAATATCAGGATTTCGAACATCCGGCTGACTTTACTCCTTTTAGATTGGTGATAATATGTGAGGTAACTTAATGAAACCCTGGGAATGCTGAATTACAATCGAATTGGTCTATACCTTGGTCTAAATCTCATATTCTTAATATAATGAATTCCGATCCTCTGGATGACGTTTTCCACATCAACTCAATATATTAAATTTAGCCGCTTTGATCGAGTTAATATCACATACAAATATCTCATTTGAAGATGTTTTTAATATAATTTTAGCTGACGCAAACTGATATATCTATAAAACTAAGTCTAAGTTTCTGGCCTTTAATATAAGTCAGGAAGATACCAAATTTGATTGTAATTTTTCACGATTTCATCGAATAATGGATGGTTAATTTTTTACCATTTTTTAATATAAAGTTTTGCCAGCATCTGAAGGAATTTCGCTGGCTTTGATTCTTGCAAGTTGCAAGAGTATGAAATGCTCGATTACACCCGAACTTAGTCTTCCTTACTTCTTGATTATAGTTCCAATTTCCATAAAATAAATGAAAAAACGAATACAAATCCGTAATAGTAAAATGATAAATATAACACTATGTATTATGTATACCAGAAAATGATTCGTTCAAAATATTAACTTTTGTAAATGAATTCATCTAATGAACCCTGTGTCACAACTAGATATAATGATGGCAACTTCGTTGTTCTAATTTGACAGTAATCTTTACAAGGAAACGTCATCCGATTTTCTCATATGTGCAAGTGGTAAAGAAAATTAGAATTCTGTTGTTTTAGTAAAGTTGATGACAATTTCATATACATTTAATACACTAAAGTTAATAATATTATTCATACATAATGCCTCTCAAGTTAGACATAAAACGTCGTTTAACTTCACGCTCGGATCGCGTAAAATGTGTTGATCTTCATCCGACAGAGCCATGGATGTTGTGTGCACTTTACAATGGCCACGTACACATTATGAATTATGAAAACCAACAATTGGTAAAAGATTTTGAAGTGTGTGATGTGCCGGTGCGTTGCGGTCGTTTTGTGGCAAGAAAGAATTGGCTAATCACAGGTTCAGATGATATGCAAATACGAGTGTTTAACTACAACACTCTTGAAAAGCTCCATTCGTTCGAGGCTCACTCGGATTATCTACGATGCATTGCGGTACACCCTACACAGCCGCTAATACTGACAAGCAGCGGTATGTAATGTTGTTTATAATGTTTATATATTAAAAATATATAGTAAATAATTGAATACAGATGATATGCTTATAAAATTGTGGAATTGGGAAAAAATGTGGGCATGCCAACGTGTATTTGAGGGGCATACACACTACGTTATGCAGATTGTTTTCAATCCAAAAGATAATAACACATTCGCATCGGCATCGCTTGATCGAACGGTAAAAGTTTGGCAACTCGGTTCAACCTTCGCCAACTTCACCCTTGAAGGGCACGAAAAAGGAATAAACTGTATCGACTACTACCATGGAGGTGATAAACCTTATCTAATTTCCGGTGCAGATGACAGACTTGTGAAGATTTGGGATTATCAAAATAAAACGTGTGTTCAAACTTTGGAGGGACATGCTCAAAATATATCTGCTGTTTGTTTTCATCCGGAATTACCTATTGTGTTAACCGGTTCCGAAGATGGCACAGTTCGCATCTGGCACTCAGGCACCTACCGCTTGGAAACTTGTCTTAACTATGGATTTGAACGTGTCTGGACAATTGCATGCATGCGGGGCAGTAATAACGTTGCCCTTGGGTATGATGAAGGATCTATCATAATAAAAGTAGGTCGGGAAGAACCAGCAATGTCAATGGATGTAATTGGATCGAAAATAATTTGGGCCAAGCACTCTGAAATGCAACAAGTAAGTATCTAACTATACTTATATAGCATAACTTATAAATATACATTATTTTACAGGTTAACTTAAAAGCAATGGCTGATGATACTGAAATCAAAGATGGAGAGCGTTTACCGGTTGCGGTTAAGGATATGGGAGCATGTGAAATCTATCCTCAGACAATAGCACACAACCCAAATGGTCGTTTTGTGGTCGTATGTGGTGATGGCGAATACATAATATACACATCTATGGCTTTGCGTAATAAAGCGTTTGGTTCCGCTCAAGAATTCGTTTGGGCTCTGGAGAGTAATGAGTATGCTATTAGAGAAAATAATGGAACAGTACGCCTTTTCCGCAACTTTAAGGAAAGAAAAAGTTTCACACCAGAATATGGCGCCGAAAATATATATGGAGGCTATTTATTCGGCGTTAAAACATCATCTGGATTGGCGTTTTATGACTGGGAAACACTACAGCTGGTGCGACGTATTGAAGTGCAACCACGACATGTATTCTGGAATGAAGCTGGCACATTGGTGTGTCTTGCTACCGATGAATCTTATTTTGTTCTGTCTATAGACACAGCAGCCATAGCGGCTGCCTTAGAGAGCAAGCAAGGGCTCGAAGACGACGGTATCGAAAGCGCCTTCGATGTTTTAGGTACGATATTGTATAATACTTAATATTCATATATTTTTGATAAACTGTGGACATTTTTAATGCCATTGTTTTTTCAGGGGAAGTCAACGAAGTCGTAAAAACGGGTATTTGGGTTGGAGATTGCTTTATATATACTAATTCTGTAAATCGTATTAATTACTATGTTGGTGGAGAAATCGTTACTATATCTCACTTGGATCGAACAATGTATTTACTTGGTTATGTACCAAAAGACAACCGACTGTATTTGGGTGATAAGGAACTGAACGTTATCTCATTTTCACTTTTACTTTCTGTACTCGAATACCAAACTGCTGTTATGCGTAGTGACTTCGAAAGGGCTGATCTGGTATTGCCCACAGTGCCAAAAGAACATCGCACACGTGTCGCACATTTCTTGGAAAAGCAAGGCTTTAAGCCACAGGCATTACAAGTCTCTACAGATCCTGATCATAAATTCGACCTGGCATTGCAAATCGGTGAATTGGAGGTTGCTTTGAAATTAGCACGCGAAGCAGAAAATCCTCAAAAGTGGTCACAATTAGCTGATGTTGCCTCTCGTAAAAATAACATGCAGCTTGTAAAAGAGTGCATGCAGAAGGCGAATGATTTCAGTGGTCTTTTACTGTTAGCCACATCATCAGGTGATGACAAAATGTTGGAGGAAGTTGCTGAGAGCAGTTCAAATCAAGGTCGCCACAATATAGCATTCCTCTCCTCCTTTGTTCGAGCAGATGTACAACGTTGCTTGGACATTTTAATTGAGACGAATCGTTTACCCGAAGCAGCATTCTTTGCGCGTACGTACATTCCCAGCCAAATGTCCCGTGTAGTGGAACTTTGGCGTGAAGAGTTGGCCAAATTCAATGAGAAAGCTGGTCAATCTCTCGCTGATCCAGCTAAATACGAAAATCTCTTCCCTGGTCTTGGAGAGGCTTTACGCGCCGAAGAATTTCTACAACAAACACAGTCAGAGAAGTTGCCAGCTAAATCTGCCGGCAAACTACCACTCAATATTGAACGCAATCCTATCGAAGAAATGTATGCTGCAGAGCAACGTGGAGTATTTGAAGGTAACGGCAAGCCTGGAGCGCAATCATATAAGAAAAGTGATGACTTTGCTATTGAACCAACAAACGCCTGTGCTACCACTTCTGCTGCCGCATCTGTATTAAATAAATCTTCTGATGGATTGGCAAACGATGGTGATGACA